AGTTCTGTTGAAAGAAATCAATTAAACCGTTTTACTTTATGTATCATAAAACAATGCATTCAATTATAGGTACTAAAGAAAAAATCAGTGGAAGCGGTAGAATCAGTTGAATTTTAGCTTCATGGCGTAAACATAGGAGAAAGCTTATATTAGCTGGTACAAACATTGAGCAATTGCATTGAATTTTTTCTTTAAATGCGTAATATTTAGTGATCGGATTGAATTCGTGTTGTTTGTATTATCAAAACTAAGCATTTTCCTTGCGTTCCATCGTTCATATTTTCTACGTACGCTACGTCTACGAACACTAATTCCGCCTTAGTGGAAAAAAAGTACTCATAATACTGAAATTGATCAAAATCTTTTCGGGAAAAATAGTAATAATTTGTTACAAACAATAAAAGAAAAGAGCGGCGCTTTCAGAAGGCGTTTTTCTATAACAAAGTTTAAATTGAAGATTTTGGTGGGTCATGTGTTGCCTTTACATACGCCCGGAAATAATGAATATGTATCGATCTATGACCTATTATATATGTGTATGTAATAGGTACTCGGTTACACAATGAATGTGATGCAATGCAATGTAATATTTATTTTATATACATTTTCAAACTCTGTATATTTTGATTTATGTACACACATTTCTGAGCAAACATATTTGGTTTCATTTCAATGTTTTGTGTATGTGAACCGAACTCAAATGAATGGTAATATGGAAATGATTTTAACCAATATAAAATAATTAAAACTTTATTACATATTCTTTGAAAAGTAGAGCAAATACGAGTGTTGACTTTCCCTTGCGTGCTCGATGGATGGGTTTGGTACGTAGGTGGGTTACGTACTAGAGTTTTCCATTTTCGTCCGAAGAAAATTTGGAAATTTTTCGACCAAATTATTTTGTTCAGTTATGCGTCATGGAATTTCTGATTTTATTTTGATTCTGAATTATTTGTTGGATATAAAATTTAAGGCTTTGGTATTCATAAAGTATAAAGTTCCTTTTTATGAAAACAGCAAATCAAATGTTTTGGCAATGTTTATTAATATTTTCATTTTAGAAGCAATTAAATTTCTTCTCGGTTTCGATATTAACACACAGTTTCGTACTTAATCAAAAATTATGTATGAAATCTCTCTTCAGCTGGCTTAGGAACAACTTTATATTTTACTTTATTTTGCTGAATTTTCGGCATATTTAGGCAGTTTTAATTAAAATTTTCAAAATTTTCTGTTTGCACACGAACACATTTTCATACTTGTTCATATGAAGTATGAAGCCTTCCGAAATTGGTTTGAGGGTGTAGAGTATTAAAATTTTGATGTTAATATAAATGTAAATGTATTCGTCCATATCCACATAGAATCATATATCTACCTAACAACGATATTATGTACGAGATGTTGATGTGTTCATTTATTGCAGAGTGGCAAAGCTGTGAGGCAGTGAGTCTGTGAGTCTGTGAGGCAGTGGAGTAGTAGAGTAGTAGAAATGTCGGTATGAAGGAGTAGCAGAGAAGAAAAGTTGAATTAGGAAGCAATGAATACAGTATTGGGGTTAAGGAGTTGGTGTTAGATTGTAAGTGGGGCATAAATATTGTGTGAAACTTAATTTTGCGTACTCAACTAACTTACATCATATAAATCGCAATTATTTTTGTATGTTGCTATATCTCTGATATACATACATGCATAACATACATCCATTTATTCCATACATTTATTGTTGCCTTAGCTTTTAACCATGTCTGCCAATGTACGAGCAAATGTTGACATTATTTTAATTAAGATGTCTGCATGGGATTTTGATTACAGCTTCTTCAACATGATATTATCTAAACGTTTATCAGTTCTAAAAAGGAATTTGCAAAAAAAAGGAAGGACGGAAATGGTCTTAAAAATGTTCGAAAAATGGTGTAAAAAAAATTTGAAATAAAAATAATGAATTAAGATAATTTTATAAATTTCTTTCAAGATATACATAAATTCGAAATATAATTATAATTATACAAAATTATTTTCGCAACTTTATCTATTTATGTTTTATACAAATCAACTAAAACCAACTTTTACAAAGATGACCAACGTCATCACACAATACAAATATCCAGGGACCGACAATAACAGTTATTTAAAAAATTTATATGAAAAACAGCAGCAACAAAAAGTTGTCCAAACTATTATTTAAGTATATAGTTATCATTCTAAAAACTTTTTTCCTTAAAATTATGCATGTTTTTTATACATGAGCGTTTTAAAATAAAACTCAAAAAATAATAATTAAATTTCCTTTGTATTCCATTTATCAAAAATAATTATTTTCTGTGACTTTCATTTTTTCGCACAGAAATAATTCTTACATTCTGCTTTTTATTTTAAAACGCACAAATAACTATTATTGCTGCGTTATAAAAATAAAAATCATGTATAACTCGCACTGGCCTGCCGAATATTTTTAAAATGAAAATATAAAATGCGAAAAAATAAAAGTTACGGAAAATAATTAATTTTCATAAATATAATATAAAGCAAATTTAATTATTATTTTTTGAGTTTTATTTTAAAATGTAAATGATAAGAGCTATAAGGTGATTTTTTTTTATGATAACTGTTACGGTCCCTGCAAATACCCACTAAAAAGTTAAATATTCGATCGCCGTTTAATCTGCCATTCACCACGAATTCATAAATTTCTATTCTTAAATAAAGAGAAAATAAGAGCCTAAAGCACTTTCACAAGAAGTCATTAATATTATATATAAATTAAACGTATGTACAGATGCATAGAGCATAAACCATAATAGTTAATTGTGTCAAATAAAAATCATGTTCCTTTCTATTACGGACATGTTATATAGAGTGTCATGGGTTCGTAATGAGCAAAATTGTTGTTGTTTTCGATTCAACTAATAAAATTGAGAGTGAGAGAAAAAACAATAAATCGTTTTCAATTTGGTGATGAGAGTAGAGGCTAACTGTGCCTCGTCACTTAGCTAAAGTAGGGTTATCCAGTCAACATTTGTGTCTTTTAGAAGCAAATGATCACAATTTCTGTGACACTTTACATGACATGCATTTTTGTCAAAACCCGAAATAGATAATTTTAACAAGCCCATAGCATTCTACATAACATGGCCCATATAGTAAGTTGAATTTTGACAAATAAGTTGCAAAAGCTATTTTAGAGCTATTATTGATTTTCGATGGCGTTAGGCATCTATATAGAAATACATATAACTTGTTAATGATCTTGTAGAACTGAAATTAATCTTAATCTGCTACTCCAAACCATCACTTCATATGTAAGTAACATCTAACAGTTGATATATTAGTAATATATAACAGTTAATATATTAGTAACATCTTGTGTCTACACTTACGTACACTAAAACTATAATTGAACAAATAAAAAGTTTGTATTAAAATTTGCAAACCTTAAATGTGTTCTTCTTCATCAAAGCCGCTATACAACATTCCACGGAACTTCGAGAAATATTCTCCAATTTTTATATTTTTTTGGCACCATTCTCTGTATAATGTATATCGTTTTCCACATCCTTCTAACTGTTTTTGATGTTCTTGGCTCCAATATTAGTCGTCTAAGTTTAAAGAAAAATTCTACCAGACTGCGTTTTAAAATTTTCCAGTGTTGTTATTCTTGAAACAAATTGACGGCAATAGATTTTTGCTATAAAGCCACTAACTGCTCTCTTCATAATCCAATACGACCGTTTGCTGGCTTACTATCTTCCCCTACAATATAATTGATTTGTGGACCATATTGTGGATTTAGAATTAAGTTTTAGTTATAGAGTTTTGATCGATTCCTTGTTCCTCAAAATTTAGTCGCTATGCGTTTGTTGTTTTTGAGACGCAAATGCATATTTCATTATATATTTCTCCGCACTGACGACAAGTCTAGATATCAACATAATTATATGCTTCAACTTATGCACCACAATTATAAGACTCGTTATCACCTTTAATCTCCTAGTCATATTTCACCACATGCATTGGAATTAATGCCGTTTTTCGGCATTAATTCTGATTGCCTCAACACTTTAAAGCTATATTTCTATATTCAAGTCTAGTACTTTGTTATTTCCGCATACATATATATTAAGAATTTGCACCGTCAAGCTAGCGATATATTCCAATTTTCTACGTGTTACCCAATATTTGAGATATCTCTATGTAGCTTAATATTCTAACCAATTTAGCCGACAATATTAACACTCTATGGATCATAACAGAGTGGTCGTTATTATCAAAATAGTAACTGTCGACAGGAGACCAGGAAAACTGTCTCCTAATAAGTGAAGTTTAATTTAAAAAAAAAAACGATTTGAAGTTTCAATATATATACTGTTTAACAGAACGTCATCATCCCTATCCAAACACAAAAAGATGTTAGTTTATAAGCAACTTCTCAAACTTCTGTTGCACTTCAGGGTTTCACTCTGGACATGCAATAATTAGAATAGAAAAAATAGAGCACAATTATTTCGAAGTAAAGTACTTATAGATTTGTTGAAAGCAACTTACTAAGTTATAGGAACATACATAGGCATCAACATTCCATCATCCGAGATATAAATAAGACCTCCAAGTCACATATGATTTGCATCTTAAATATCGAAACTTCCGCACCTCCTAAACCTCTAAAATTGCTTGAGGTTTTGAGGTTAAAGACGCCAAAGCCGATGTAATAAACATTGTGTAAATACATTATATCCGATGATAAACTATAAATGAATGAACTAGAATACACATTATTATTTCTTAAGAAATTTTAATTTATAGAATCACTTTAAATCCATGACGAAAGTCAATAGATTTTAAAGTCTATTGACAATATTTTAAATAATAATAATAACATAATAATGCAATAATTTCAGTGCACATTTTATTTGAAATTTATATAGAAATTACAAATTTTTTATATCTGTTATTAATTAAAATTAAAAATATCAAACATCTTTTTTTTTGTGTAAGTTTAGTTGTGAATTAAAAAAAAATGTGATGTTTAACTATTTAATTTGCGATATATCAATCCGAATCCATATAATCCGATTCGCGATCAAACTCTTTTTCCATTTCAATTGCGACTTCTTGGAAGGCACTGTTCTTAATGCTTGCACTAGTACAAGGCATATCTAAAGAATACGGCAATATTTCCAAACTTTTGGGTGGTTTATTAGTTGCAGTTTTTTCTGGTGTCTTTGAACAAGGCTTTTCATGATCCAATTTCATTGCCCGAAATATTTCACACATTTTATAGTGTTCTTTTTCTTCTTCTTTCTCTTCTTTCTCTTCTTCCGATGACTGATATTTTAATTTACGTGATTGTTTAGTTTCTACTGAATTGATCCATTTTAAAATCATATGACGTGGTAAATCTATTAGCATTGTGTTTTTATTTCTACCCGCGTACATTTTGATATTCATTACGTTTTTATTTATTAATGTCATTATCAACTGAAATATGTTTAAATTGTATATCGAAAATAAAATAAATTAATTATCATAACAAATTTACCTGTTCTTTTACACCAAAAACAACAGGTTTTTTAGCATTCTCGGTCCAATTAGGATTTCTAATTAACTTAAAATCCATAGGAAATATTTCTCCTTCCTTTTTACGTTGTATGTAGTCAGCATTGTCTGGAGCTGGACGACCGTAAAGATCTCTGAAAAACTTGTTACTTTCCGAATGATTTTTGCATACTTGTAGAAATCCACCGTGAGTAGGAACCTTGTTACATGTCTTTTTATTGTATGTCATAAACATTTGATTATATTGGATGCGCGACTCCCATTTTTCCAATATCAATCCACCTAACTTACTCAGAGTTTCACTCAATTCCATTGACACATTATTTACCTGTTCAAAAAATTCCATTTTCTCGTCAATAGAACTGGTATAAATTTCGACTTCTTTATCTATCATTTTCTTCGCCGGTTCTATACAATTTTGATGCATTACTTTAACCAGGTTGTCAGACTCAGCTTTTAAAGCCGCCATTTCCAAACGATGGGCAATTGTCTTAAGATACAACCACCCTTCGTCAACAATTTCTTCAGTATCACTCGATGGCTCATTACCAGAGCCACGTGCTGAATTATCTTCGCTATTTTCCATCATTAAAAGCAAAACCACGTTCTTTTAACAAACTACCGTTCACTTTTAGCGCGGATATAATTTCACATTGGATCAAGGTGGCGTCGATCTCATTTTGCATATCTCATTTTCCAAGATTAGACCAACGATCAATTTTTAACACAAGTGTAATATAAAATATAATATTTTATTCTTGTTTCAACCTATAAGTTTATTCTCTGCGTTTTTATTTCAAATTTATTTCCTTAATTGTTGGTTATTATATCATGGAATATAATAGAAATATTAAAGAAAAATGAATATTAAAAATTTAATATTTTTATATATTAAAATACTGTAAAGAAAATACACTTAAAATAATAAAGTATTTGAAAAAATTTATTAAAATAAAGAATTTAACATTCACCCCTTGCCGATTTGTAGAAATGGAATTAAAAAATTTTATGACGCGATACAAATTTTGGAGAAAAAATCAATGGATGCAATTTACTATTAATCTAAGCTGTTCACTGTTCATACTAAGTGTGATGAAGACATTCTTTATGTCAACGGATTATGTCCAAGACAGAAATATTAAAACTGACAGGCACATTAAATGGTGTAAAGCTGTCATATTTCAGGACATGAATTAAATTGTTTTAATTTAATTTAACCGATTTAATTATAGTTAGTGCATATACAGAATTACAAACTAGGATGAATAGTTATATATTTTGTGATTTGAAAAATTAAATTCGTTTTTTACATTTTTCACTAATACCTCCAATAATGTTTGAGGAAAGAAAACACGATATGTACACGAATATTCAAAGATTTAATATAATTATCCAGAATATCGCATTGGAAGTTATTACATACACCGCGTCAAAAGTCTTTTTGAAATCAGTCAACGTGTAGATCAGTCAACGAGAGTGTGTGCCAATTTACACCAAATGCCAGATTGGACATGTAATAGGTACTCGGTTACACAATGAATGTGATGCAATGCAATGTAATATTTATTTTATGCTAGAGATCCGACAGACTTCGTTCTGTCAAACAGATTTGGAATGTGGTAGTCTTTTGTACCTACCTATTTTATAGTCGGGGTAAAAAAAAATATTGTGAACAGAACAGTCACCCTGGTGTGTGGGGTTCAGCTCGGGTGACCAAAGTATCTTCTCTTCCAAGAACTTTGGCCACCCTTCTGGGATCCACTAAAAAACCCTGACTGGGATGTCTGCCAGAGGGTTTTAAGCTAAAAGACGAACTTAAGGTTCAAACCTGATTAGAAAATAGTCTAAAGGGACAGTGGAAACCTAAAGGTGACAAATATATAAAAAGTGGGTGACTCGCTTAGATATTTGAGATAATGATCTGCAAAGGCAGTCATGGGGATTTAATAAACATACCTACAATAATCAACAACTTATTACAACACACAAACTCATCTATTTTGTTTATGTTCTTGTCTTCTTATATGTAAAAATTAATCGAAAAATTTGTTGGTAAGCGCATAACTCAACAACGCCTGGACCAATTTGGAATTAGCAATAATTCGATTTTTTTTCTCGCCGTAAAAACCATCCTTGGACTTCAACGAATATTTAAAAAAAAGAATTGATCAAATTGGTCCAGGCGTTGTTCAGTTATACGCTTACCAACACATTTTTCGATTCATTTTTATATATAAGATACAGTTTCAAACTCTGTATATTTTGATTTATGTACACACATTGTTAAGCAAACTTATTTCATTTCATTTCAATTCTCTGTGTCTTTGTGTCTTTAATACATTTTGTATGGAATTAAAAAAATAACTACCCTGTATGAAAAATGCATTTTGTATTCCCATTTTAAAAATATTCGGCAGGCCAGTGCGAGTTATTCATGATTTTTATTTTTATAACGCAACAATAACAGTTATTTGTGCGTTTTAAAATAAAAAGCAGATTGTAAGAGTTATTTCTGTACGAAAAAATAAAAGTTACGGAAAATAATTGATTTTCATAAATATAATATAAAGCAAATTTAATTGTTATTTTTTGAGTTTTATTTTAAAATGTAAATGATAAGAGCTATAAGGTGATTTTTTTTTAAGATAACTGTTACGGTCCCTGCAAATACCCACTAAAAAGTTGAATATTCGATCGCCGTTTAATCTGCCATTCACCACGAATTCATAAATTTCTATTCTTAAATAAAGATAAAATAAGAGCCTAAAGCACTTTCGCAAGAAGTCATTAATATTATATATAAATTAAACGTATGTACAGATGCATAGAGAATAAACCATAATAGTTAATTGTGTCAAATAAAAATCATGTTCCTTTCTATTACGGACATGTTATATAGAGTGTCATGGGTTCGTAATGAGCAAAATTGTTGTTGTTTTCGATTCAACTCATAAAATTGAGAGTGAGAGAAAAAACAATAAATCGTTTTCAATTTGGTGATGAGAGTCGAGGCTAACTGTGCCTCGTCACTTAGCTAAAGTAGGGTTATCCAGTCAACATTTGTGTCTTTTAGAAGCAAATGATCACAATTTCTGTGACACTTTACATGACATGCATTTTTGTCAAAACCCGAAATAGATAATTTTAACAAGCCCATAGCATTCTATCTAACATGGCCCATATAGTAAGTTGAATTTTGACAAATAAGTTGCAAAAGCTATTTTAGAGCTATTATTGATTTTCGATGGCGTTAGGCATCTATATAGAAATACATATAACTTGTTAATGATCTTGTAGAACTGAAATTAATCTTAATCTGCTACTCCAAACCATCACTTCATATGTAAGTAACATCTAACAGTTGATATATTAGTAATATATAACAGTTAATATATTAGTAACATCTTGTGTCTACACTTACGTACACTAAAACTATAATTGAACAAATAAAAAGTTTGTATTAAAATTTGCAAACCTTAAATGTGTTCTTCTTCATCAAAGCCGCTATACAACATTCCACGGAACTTCGAGAAATATTCTCCAATTTTTATATTTTTTTGGCACCATTCTCTGTATAATGTATATCGTTTTCCACATCCTTCTAACTGTTTTTGATGTTCTTGGCTCCAATATTAGTCGTCTAAGTTTAAAGAAAAATTCTACCAGACTGCGTTTTAAAATTTTCCAGTGTTGTTATTCTTGAAACAAATTGACGGCAATAGATTTTTGCTATAAAGCCACTAACTGCTCTCTTCATAATCCAATACGACCGTTTGCTGGCTTACTATCTTCCCCTACAATATAATTGATTTGTGGACCATATTGTGGATTTAGAATTAAGTTTTAGTTATAGAGTTTTGATCGATTCCTTGTTCCTCAAAATTAAGTCGCTATGCGTTTGTTGTTTTTGCGACGCAAATGCATATTTCATTATATTGTTCTCCGCACTGACGACAAGTCTAGATATCAACATAATTATATGCTTCAACTTATGCACCACAATTATAAGACTCGTTATCACCTTTAATCTCCTAGTCATATTTCACCACATGCATTGGAATTAATGCCGTTTTTCGGCATTAATTCTGATTGCCTCAACACTTTAAAGCTATATTTCTATATTCAAGTCTAGTACTTTGTTATTTCCGCATACATATATATTAAGAATTTGCACCGTCAAGCTAGCGATATATTCCAATTTTCTACGTGTTACCCAATATTTGAGATATCTCTATGTAGCTTAATATTCTAACCAATTTAGCCGACAATATTAACACTCTATGGATCATAACAGAGTGGTCGTTATTATCAAAATAGTAACTGTCGACAGGAGACCAGGAAAACTGTCTCCTAATAAGTGAAGTTTAATTTAAAAAAAAAAACGATTTGAAGTTTCAATATATATACTGTTTAACAGAACGTCATCATCCCTATCCAAACACAAAAAGATGTTAGTTTATAAGCAACTTCTCAAACTTCTGTTGCACTTCAGGGTTTCACTCTGGACATGCAATAATTAGAATAGAAAAAATAGAGCACAATTATTTCGAAGTAAAGTACTTATAGATTTGTTGAAAGCAACTTACTAAGTTATAGGAACATACATAGGCATCAACATTCCATCATCCGAGATATAAATAAGACCTCCAAGTCACATATGATTTGCATCTTAAATATCGAAACTTCCGCACCTCCTAAACCTCTAAAATTGCTTGAGGTTTTGAGGTTAAAGACGCCAAAGCCGATGTAATAAACATTGTGTAAATACATTATATCCGATGATAAACTATAAATGAATGAACTAGAATACACATTATTATTTCTTAAGAAATTTTAATTTATAGAATCACTTTAAATCCATGACGAAAGTCAATAGATTTTAAAGTCTATTGACAATATTTTAAATAATAATAATAACATAATAATGCAATAATTTCAGTGCACATTTTATTTGAAATTTATATAGAAATTACAAATTTTTTATATCTGTTATTAATTAAAATTAAAAATATCAAACATCTTTTTTTTTGTGTAAGTTTAGTTGTGAATTAAAAAAAAATGTGATGTTTAACTATTTAATTTGCGATATATCAATCCGAATCCATATAATCCGATTCGCGATCAAACTCTTTTTCCATTTCAATTGCGACTTCTTGGAAGGCACTGTTCTTAATGCTTGCACTAGTACAAGGCATATCTAAAGAATACGGCAATATTTCCAAACTTTTGGGTGGTTTATTAGTTGCAGTTTTTTCTGGTGTCTTTGAACAAGGCTTTTCATGATCCAATTTCATTGCCCGAAATATTTCACACATTTTATAGTGTTCTTTTTCTTCTTCTTTCTCTTCTTTCTCTTCTTCCGATGACTGATATTTTAATTTACGTGATTGTTTAGTTTCTACTGAATTGATCCATTTTAAAATCATATGACGTGGTAAATCTATTAGCATTGTGTTTTTATTTCTACCCGCGTACATTTTGATATTCATTACGTTTTTATTTATTAATGTCATTATCAACTGAAATATGTTTAAATTGTATATCGAAAATAAAATAAATTAATTATCATAACAAATTTACCTGTTCTTTTACACCAAAAACAACAGGTTTTTTAGCATTCTCGGTCCAATTAGGATTTCTAATTAACTTAAAATCCATAGGAAA